AAAATCTACCACTGTAAGGTAGAAATACATTGATATTCACTGTTCCCCTCATCACGAAGCACCTAAACAGATGCTAATATACTTTTAAGAACCTGCTTTTAGAAAATCACCTACATTCTCTGCATTCACTTTGTATGCATCAGGATACATGTTCCCCTTCAATAGCCTCTCAATGGCTTGCCTGTGAGCGAGGCAGCAGATGAATTTCATATATGTCACTGTTAATGATAATGCGCACAATCCTTATTCAAATAACCTGCTTGATAATTTCTATTGAGCAGGGCTGGCTTCAGGCCAGATTCCACTCAATTACTTTTCTCCCAAAAGGGAGTATCTGCCAGATGTCCCCCAATATCCATTCCCTCTCTTTCTTCTTCAGTATCAGAACCTCTATGAAGCAGGCACAAGATTGTACAAAGCCCCTCACCCTCCCCTGCAGGTACAAGCAGTCTTGAACCTAAGTGTTGGTCACTGGAGTGTAGGGTTGGTATAGACCCTCAGAAGAAGAGTCAGGGCTTCTGTCCTGTCCTCTCAACTGCTGCCATCCAGATAAGGTGGCTGAAGTTTCAACAGCTACCCCAGAGCAAGTAGCAGTCGGGAGTTAAAGGTACCAGAGGAACAAGATGGGGAACCCAGGTCCACCGTAACTATGACACTACCATTCAGGCTAGGCTTGCCGATGTTTTTTGGAAAGAAATGCAGGAATATCTCTTATGATCTTTCAGTATTTGGGTTTTCCTGGATGTTGCTAGTGACTAAACTATTTAACATACCTGGTGACAGTGGACGATGGGCTCAAGCAAGGCAGCTGGGCCCCTCCCTCAGGTCTGCACGCCTGAAGCTAGTGCCACTAACTTTACAATCTGCAGGCTCCCAACACACACTGCCCGTTTTGAAGAGATGCACTGAAGGTGTAGACCGCAACCGAACTGACAGCGGCAGCTTGGGGAGCAAATGAACGAGGGGCCGCCACGGTGCCTTGCTGACCAGTGCAGACTGTGTCAAGTACCAATAAAGCTTTATCGTGACACATGAACTCACATGGTTCTCCCTCCCCTTTCCTTATAGGCCCCTGCCAAAGAAGTAGCTAGACTCACAGCTAACTACTGATTTCTCTCCTGGACCATAAAACTATGTTGTAAGAAGAAATGTCCAAAAGTGAAAAGTCAGCATAAATGAGGGTTCTCTGTTAAAGTGAAAATACCTGTGAGCAGGTGGTAAATACAAGGGTAAACGGATGGATGCAGCAACCTTAGCGCCGTACCTGAACACCTCCAGCACTGTCCTCGCCGGTAGCTTGGGAGCCACTCGACTAAACGCCCTTTTGAAATCTTCTAGAGTTAAGAATCCACGATCTAGATGAAAACAAAATATCAAGCATTCACTTACTCCTATAAACCCTGTGAACTATGACTTCAGTCATAGTTGTTATGGGAAGTTAAAATTTAACATATTATTAAAATTTTTTTAAAAAGCAGTAATTTGCAGTTATCTTACATAGGTCATTATACATCCAGTGAACACTTCTCCCTGGAAGAATTTCAGAATATGGTAGTGATACCCTGCCTGTCCTTTAGTGCAGTCCTACATAAACTGAAAGGCCACTGGCAGCTTTGCACTTTCCGGGTCTCTAAGTCCTGGGGAAAGAGTTACTTAGACAGGACTGTAACGATGCACTGGGCTTCGCGTCTCTGTGATAGGCCAAAACATTTCAGGCCTCCAAATTCATTGCTTTCCAGCTTGGCATGAGACCTATTATATATTAATATGTAGAGGAAATTACAACTGTAGCCAGTGCGCGAATCTTGGAAGTTACATCTAGCATGGAAAATGATTCTTTCAGTCAGGTATGGGTCAAAGTGAGAGTTGCAAAGTGTCTCCCACATGCCCATGGCTGGCTTGTGGCTTGGACCCCCAGATGGCCAGTCCTTTGGTTATCACCCACTACAATACAGGTACAATAGGCAAGCACACAAATCCAGTTAATAATGGTAAATATTTCATGTAGGGCCAGAAACTGAGCATCCCTACTTAGGAAAAGATCCCCACCAACAGCTGTGGCCACAGTCAGAATGTGGTAGGGATGGCCCATGTTTACTGCACCACAGGGGATACATCCCCATTCCCGATTCCTCAGCAGCAACTCTTCCAGGAAAGCACTTTGCCGACACTTACAGTGCACGTCGAAAGCCGTGAAGATGTGCCTTATCTCATTACGATAGAGCTGTGCTTCCTTCTTTCTCTGTACGACATGCAGAAACCCCTCAAGTGATATGCCTAGGAATTGTGGGGGAGAAAAACAGTTTGCCAAAGATGACTACATTCCTCTTCAGGAAGAAATAAGCCAGACATGAACAGTGATAAATATCACAAAACGTTTCAGTTTTATCTTTCACAAAGGGTATTTACTCATAAATGCAGTCAGAAAGACATTATGTCGTGCTACACGCTAAGCAAGTACAACCCTAGTAACCAGTGGTGAAAACCAGAGACACGCAGGTTCACTGAGCTTCTCAGGGATGAGGAGCCATGACCTTGAAAAAGTTGAACACTCTCCCTCTGATGGGTCCAAAAGGCAGGCACGGAATCGCTTATTAAAGAAACTCGCATAATTTGCCTTTTAGCACACTGCTATAATACCTTTTCTCCCCTAGCCAGATGTCATTTCAGCAGGTTTTTTTCCCCCAACTGAGAGATAGGGTCAGAGAAGTAGTTTCTCAAAAGTCAACACCAATTGTATGCCACAGATAAAGGTGGAGAGAATATTACATAAACAATAGAGCTGGCACCATCCCCAGCCTGGATACACCCCACAACGTGTTCAGCAGCCTCGGGCTCAGCTCCCTGCGACTCTCATAATAAAAGAACCCAGCGTGATGTTATGAGGTTGGGTACTGTGCTTACAGTGTCTATTAAAAAGAATTCTAATGTGATCTTTGTAGCAGGTTTAAGGAGCGGAGCCAAGAATTTAGACATTTTAGTGAACTGAGCCTGAAATATATAGAAAGAGCAGTTCGTTTGCATAATGTAGGATTTCCATTAAAAAGTTATCATTTTGTTTTAAAAACAGCCCCAAACTATATAATAAGTATGTGTAACTCTATCGTTTGGGCGGCATAACTAATAACATTGAACCATATGTCTTTCCCAAAACAGCTTCAAGAGTTTGCAATGCTAAAATAATTTTCTTGGGACTGGAGAGATGGCTCAGTGGCTAAAAGCACAGACTGCTCTTCCAGAGGATCCAGGTTCAATACCCAACACCCACATGGAAGCTCACAACTGTCTAACTCCAGAGAATCCAATCCCAAGGCAAAAACACCAATACACATTAAAATAGATAAATAAGTTTAATTTTTCTTTTTTATTTGAGATTAATGATTTATAAGCTTTAAAAATCATGTAGTTTTATGTTTTTAAATGATTATTTTACAATTTTTAAAGACCCACCATGTGCCAGCCACTATAATAAATGCTGGAGGTAGAAGGTGCAAAAGAACATGATTTCAGTTCCCAAGGAAACGGAGTACTATGGGAGGTGGCCATTATGCAATCTGACTGCAGGTGCACACATCCCTGAAAACTGTGGCATGTGCAATGATGGGAAGAGGGTGAAAGGCTGTAAGGGGACCCAGGAGTCCTTGTGGCATAGACTCGAGGAGGGGGCTCCTAGTGGAGGAGATATTTAAGCGAAGACCCAAACCATGGAAATACAACAGTGGCCACAGAATGAGAAGAGGAGCAATCCAGGCAGGGAACAGCATATGCCAAGGCCAAGGCGTAGGAAACGAAAGGAAGACCACGCAACTAGAACGGCTTCAAAAAGAGAGGAAGAAATAATACAGAGTTGGCGAGGGACACAGGGCCTGAACTCTCAGTCCTTGGGGACTGCGGGAAATGACTGGGCGTTACTGAAGTTGCAATAGGAAGTCATTAGAAGGTTTTCATTGAGAATTGATATGATCTGATTTAGACTTTGGAAAGGCATTTCATGTTCTTGTTTTTGTATAAAAGGATTGGGAGTAAAAGCAATTATGGGAACGAGCAGTGAAAGGGACAGGGGTGGAAGGCCATGCTTTAGAACTGCAATGGCACAACTTGATGATGAGTTAGATGTGACAGGTGAAAGGTCAAATATAACACAGAGGTTCTGTATTGAGTACCCAGTGGTGTGAGGTGTCAGTTAAAGGGATGAAAGGCCCAGGGGGAAAGCAGGACCAGGGGACAGATAAAGTGCTGTGGTTTAGATGTGTTTACTGTATGACACTTTGAAGACAGCTAAGAGGAAAAATAACCCAGGAAGCCTTTCTCTTAAGGGAGCAGGCATTATCTCCCAGCTACATTGTCCAGCAGATATTCAATAAATAGAGCCATCCAGGCCCACTGGCGTCCAAGGAGGATGCACATTCCAGGATTCTCCCAGAAGACATCAAAACTGGAGGATGCAAAACTCCCTTATACAAAATGATGTAGTGTTTGAGTATAATCCTACACAACTCTCCTGTAAAGTTCAAGTCATCTCCAGATCACTTGTAGTTGCTTATGTAACTAACATAATCACTATGTAATTGGACTGCATTGTTTGGGCAACAATGATGAAGAAAAAGTACACAGGTGTTCGGTTCAGAGGAATTTTATTTCGAATACTTTCCATTGTAGTTGGTGAAAGTGTAGCAACTTTGGATGCAGAGGGTAGACTGTGCTGCACTGAATTAGCATATGCAGCATTTTTTCCTGTAGTTGCTAAGGACAGAGATTGATGCGGCTCCATTCCCATCTAATCACCCTGTGACCAGAGAACATATTTTAAAATGCTAGCTGAGGTTGAAATTAAGTCTAGCCATGCATGTTCCCAAAGATCATATCCATAACTTTAGTTTCATGAACTCCAAAAGCTAATAAATTAAATCACACCCAGAGTTGCTGAAATTCCTGAATAATTTATTCACAGGCGGTGCGCATTCTATAAGATCTATTAGCGTCCTACCTCAGCCCATGGTCCAGCCCCTCTAGCAAGCATCCTGGTGCCTCCTGCACCCACAGGTTCTTCATGAATCCTGTAAGACCCATCAGCATCCTACCCCAGGTCAAGAAGCAGCCCCTCAAAGCAAGCATCCTGGTGCATCATGCAACCACAGGTTCTTCATGAATCCTGTAAGACCCATCAGCATCCTACCCCAGGTCAAGAAGCAGCCCCTCTAAGCAAGCATCCTGGTGCTTCTTGCATCCACAGGTTCTTCGTGAATCCTGTAAGACCCATCAGCATCCTACCCCAGGTCAAGAAGCAGCCCCTCTAAGCAAGCACCCAGGTGCTTCTTGCATCCACAGACTCTTCGCACATAGTGCCCTGGCACATGCAAACACACTGCCTGAAAGCACCTTTTTCTTTACTTCTCCTAGTGAATTTTTAATCACACATCTCCTTCCAGATGCTACTGAAGTATCACCTTCACTTTAAAGGTTCTCTGCTGTTGCTCAACCTTTTGCTGCAACCAGCAGTCCAGAGGTCACAACACACTAAAGGAATTGCTTGGGCTCTATGGCAGTGGCCTGACCACATGTTTAGCTGAGAGATGGTAGGGAAAAAGATCATGTGCTATTTAAAAATTCATTCCCAGTGTTTAGCATGAAACCTGTGTGCAACAGGCATTCATTATATGCTTGCCAGGTAAGTAACATGTACTGAATAAATAAGAATAATTATGGAGATATCATTTCTAATTCTCAGCAAAAAAAAAAAAAATTAAGATATATGTTTTGAACTATCTTTAACTCCAGAGAGTAATGGCAAAAAGTGAGTCTTTTTTTTTTTAATTACATGGCCAGTAAAATAAACTATCACTTTAAGAAAAAAAATAGGATTCAGAGAGAAAAGAAATACATTCATGCCAAAGGTCTGCTCTGATCACTGCAGCTCACTCAGAGAAATGAGGGGCAGAGTATAGCTGCATAGGTCGCTGTGTGATTCATAAGGAAAGAGAGCATATGAATGCTGTGGTCTTCTTTAATTACATATTCAGATAACACAGCCATATTTGGAGTTATAAAGTATATATGTCATCATTTCACAACTGTATAGTATAAAGAGCAAATGTTCTTTGGTTTTTAATAGGAAAAAGTATTTAAATTGTATGTTTACTACCACTTAAAATGAAAATCTAATCACACAAATGACACTATTCTGAATAATCATGTCTTTTCATACTGTTTTCCCCACAGGCATATACCTCCTATTTTAAACAGTGGGAGGTCTGAGGCACAGCTACACTTAGAACCCTGTAAACACATGGTCCACAGCACGCTCTCGGGTTGCTTCCCAGGGCCACACACATCTCAACCAAGCCTCTTTTCTGAAGACTAAGTTTTCATTTAGCACAGCTTTCTTGCTGCAATACTACAATCGCTTTCCAAAGCTAACACTTAATAATTTACTATTCTAAAGCTTTGCAGCAGACACAGTGATGTAAGGCTTGTAGATCTTGCTGCCTTTTAAATGGCCCAGGAATAGAATTCCTACTACTAGCTCCACCTGCTGTCGCAATATTCAAACCGAAAATTACCACTTCAAAAAGACTCTCAATAACTCCATTTATGTCAGATTTCATACCAAATGCATTATCCGTGCCCCCCACCACCACAAAGAAAGAGAGTATGTTCTAGAAAATTCTAAATTCAGACACAATATCGAGTTCTCCGTATACACCGTTCAACTTACAGTTATCTATACACACAGCACCGGAGTTACAAATCAGGGTCACGACACTGGTGACACCAAGAATTACAGGGTCTGGCTGTTTGTGCTCTCCAACAGGTCCACAGAGGTGTACAGAACCTGCCAGTGGACCTGGATTCTAATGGTGTTTTGTAGACTTTTTTCTGTTAGCAAGATCTTTTCTAATGACAAGACAGTTCCCACATTTCCTTGTGTGGCAGTGTCACTGAGGGTGGTGGCCTCACAAGACGCCAAACTGAGGCTCACAGCTTAGGAAATATAAGACAGATAATCCAAAGGAAACAGAGGTTTATTCTTGCCTCTGGTTTCAGAGAGTCCAGTCAACGACCCCTAGGTACTATTGTCATGGTTGGAGTGCACGGTGGGAGAAACTGTCCTATTGATGGTATCAGATATCTAGAAAGAAAGAGAACCCCGATAGCCCCTTCAAGGGCACACCTAGTTTCCTGGAACTGGGTCCTGCTCCCTAAAGGCCATCACTAAGGGCCATCACGGGTTAGTGATCCAGCCGTGAAGACACACAGCCTTTGAAGAACATCATGAA